AAACACACATAAAAGTTTAAATAATTATTTACGTATTCAAATAGAAAAATTTCAGAATACTTGGTCAACGTGGGTTGGTTTTTGGAGCTTTGCTTTCAATACCACCGTACACACGGAAACAAAATATAGTCCTTATGAATTAGTTTTTGGGAAACCGTGTAATCTTCCTCATGATTTGCTAGGAGGTGTAGAGCCATTATACAATTTTGACAATTACGCACACGAGCTTAAATTTCGTTTACAAACCGCTTGGAACGATGCAAGGAGTAATCTGCTCGAATCTAAAGTTAAGAGAAAAGATAGGTTAGATAGGAATAGTAATAGTCTTAAGTACAAATTTAATGACAAAGTGTTGGTAAAGAATGAAACTGGTAGCAAACTCGACGCAATTTTCAGCGGTCCATATAAGGTGATAGAAGAGGATGCGCCAAATGTGACATTAAAAATAAATAATAAGTTAGTTAAGGTGCACAAAAACCGAGTGAAACCATTTTTTAATGATTAAATTAGCGTGACAATCGAATGCATTCGGGAAAACGTAAGTGTAATATCGGTACGGAAATAGATGTAATGTGTTTAGCAGTAAGACTAGAAATAGAATTATGTAATGTAATAAGTTCATGACTTTTGTAATGTATGTAATTAGGTTAAAGATAAGGTAAATTGTATTATTATTAAGAGTAAATATGCGTTTATTGTAATAGCAAACAAAAATTTTTCATTTAATTAGAAAACAAAAAATTTTTTTTTGGAAAATGAGGAGGTGTAATGGAATAAGAATATAAATATTGATTTGCGCATGACGTGACAATTAATTAATAATTAACTGATTAAGTAAAGCGTTGCGTGCAGTCAGTAATAATCGTAATGTAGTAGATATAGGTAGGTGTTAAGTTGTAAATAAAGTTTTTAAGTCATCTTCACGAGTGGTTATTTTCCCTAAATGTTCTCTCCACCAGAGGGAACATTACACTGCGTAAAACGATTTCGTAAGGGGATGAACAGATCAGCACAGTGACAGTGGCAAATGGCACATAAAAGGAAAGAACGAACGGGGCCGGCGCGAACGATGCGAAAAACGTAAACGTCATCAGCTGTCAGCTGACGCATCGGCCACTGAAACTATTGCGCTATGATTGGTCCTCGGTCCGCCCGCAGTCTTGCCATCCTAGAGATAGTAAACGTAAACGGAGATTAACCAAACGCTCTTCCAAAGGTCTTTATAATACGCAACCGCTCTCAATCTTGGTTTGACGTTCAATCGCCGTTTTAATAATCTCCACTTGAACTGTGCTTTTATAATACCGGCCCTTAGAGTTCTTAAAAATACTTCCATCGGAGTTTTTCCCAAATCCACCCACATCTACTACAATAAATTTGTAATTAGCGTCAAATAAAGCTAATAACTCAACACTAAAGTGTTTCTTATAACAGAAGAATTGTGAACCACTGTGTGGAGGTGCCTGAATTAATACATGTTTGCCATCCATGGATCCCAATAAATTGGGAAAATTCCACTTATTATTTTTTATTTATTTTACTCACATTGTCTCATCGTTAGTCGTTTTTTTTAATTACACCTGCTACTACTGGATTATTGTATATCGTTTGCTTGGGATTCCTGGAAAACCAGCGAAGATCATACCTAGTGGCATATTGGAGGTCATTCAAAATCTGCAAGAAGTTATCATTATTCTAAAAGAAAACAGTACATACTCGCCTAACTAAAAAGAAGTTTTCATATGTTTTTTCCTGTTAATTTAGGGTTTTCCAGAACGCTGGTGTCATGTATTAGAGGTTATTTTTATTTATGTTAATTAATTCGAACTGTGCCACTAGTAGCGCGCAGGTCGTTCTTGCTTTCAGTTTCTTTCATTTGTTATCTACAGGATAGATCGAGCAAGCACTTGCTACACCGCACTTCTGTGGAATTGAAATTCATTTTTACGTTGGACTGCGCGGAACAAAGGTGAGTAACTTTAATTAATTTTTTATTATACCTGAACACACGTGCTTTAAAGTTGCTAAGTAACGATACTTCAAGTATGACTTTTGAAACTGGCATCTGGATGAAATAAAAAATCCTCTTAGGTCGCTTTCTGTAAATGCAGAACATTTCTTTTGCTTTTGTACCTATCCTTTGGTTGAAGCTTTCACAAACGCGCGTAATTTAGGGTATGCTTCCAAATCTGTTCCACTTTTTAGTCGCAGCATTGCTTTAAAGTTTTGAATGAATGCACCAAAATATAGAATATTTACATACCTTTGACATTTCCTTCATATATGCCAGCATTATGGATGCATTTAAGACTGTATTCGTAAGTAACTTCCTATTCATCCATGGAAACAGCTTTTCATATTCTTTATAATAGGCTTTACTGTAGTTGGATTTTACACCTACCAACGTTTGTTTAGATTTTACAACAATCGATTTAATGGACGGTGTATTATCTTTTTCAACCGAAATCGTTTAATTCACAAAGACGATGATTTTTATAAGCAAACGTCAAGTGACATTTCCATGACAATCGTGAAATTACGAACACCCAGCCCACTTAATTAGCATGTATTCGAGTATAACGTCAATATGACTTCATTGTATTTCCTATTTTTAAATTATACTGCAGGTATAATAAAAAAATACTATAAGATACACGTGTATAATTGGTCTTTAAAGCACTTGCAACGTTAAAGGCACTCCGCTTTGCGTCGTGCCCTTAAACCCGTTGCGCGTGCTTTAAAGACTTGATTATACACTTGTATCTTAATATACTATTTTTATGTCAATTGTTTGTTTGCGCGACTTGTTGGCTGTATGTAAAGCCAAATCTGGAAAGTGTTGAATTCGTATTTTATGTTTTATACCTGTAACCAACGAACTGATATTTGATTTTAATTTTATATAAACACCTTATTTACCAGCTATTTTTTTTATGCCAGACTGTGAGTTAAAAGCCTATTATTTTTGGAATAAATTACTAGTAATTGCTTGGACAGCTAGATTGTAGGACTGTCCCTCTAATTCTAGGCATAGGACCTGGCGCCCTGGAATTTTATGTTATTGTAGGTACACGAGTACGTAGAAGCAGTCAGGCGGCGTCGAAAGTACGGGCTCCGAAATTTGAGAGCGAACTAAGCTTCCTAGTGCCGTATCTTTTTGATGAAGACAAATTGTCCCGAGTCACAGTCACTCAATTCGGCGAATGAGGAGCAAACTGACACCAGATTCTGATGACCCGTTAAAAAAATTTTTTTTAACGATGGCCCAGACCGCCGGAAGTTAATATTAAAGGAAAATTATTCCAAATGGTCAACGCCGTGGAAATGAGAATGGCTACAACTGCTACAAGTAACTCCACGTCCTCTGCACCTCCGTATCCAACGCCTAATTACCAAGTGCAGTTTTCCCGACACGCAAATAACCAAGGCTTTCAGTAGACCCCCATACAAGGAGGTTATAAATTTATAGTACGTACATTTTTCTTAATAAAAAACCTTGTATTGCCTAAAAGATAATTTAAAAAAAATAATTCGCTCCATTAGTATGACGTAGTAGATACCAGCTGTGTTGGTGTAGGTCAAGGTGCTTTATCCAAACAAACCGCGCTTCTGTGTAAAATTCATATGCTTGTATTGTATTTGCTTAATATAAATTAAATTAGAAAGAAAAGGACTATAAAAAGTAAGTATTTTCAATTTACTAGTGAACTGGAACTTACTATGCCAATTTGGTTTATGATTTCTCACAATTATTAACTTTATAACAAAAATAAAGTTTTATAACCTAAAAATTATTGTTATGAATGGTAGTTTTGTAGGTGTGTAGTACCTGCTTGGGATACAGAATGGTTTTATGTTGGGCACCTGGTTGTAAACATTACAACGTACGGGAAACCTGCAAGTTTTACAAGTTCCCTGCTAGCGGAAACGAAAGATTTCGTTGGAAGAAGTTAGTGAGGCAAGTTTTTCTTATTGCTAATGAAACTTGGCAACTACAATTTGATTAACAACTTTAACATGAAGCTGTTTATAGGCGAGATGTTGAACCTGGCCCCGGTGCATACTTATGTAGTTGCCATTTTGTAGACGGTAAACGAGAATCGGGACCCGTACTGTTTGCTCATAACAATAATATATTTATAAGTGAAATCTATTATTTTGTTTGCAGTAGTTGCGTACCAGAACAAGAACCGGACCAAGAAATTCCATGTCACAGTGCAGAAGTGGAGATTGTTAGTATCTCTGGAGACAATCCTCAACCTGGTCCTTCATACGCTACAGACGTTCAGATTGGCAGTGATCCGCAGCCTGGTCCGTCATATGTTGCAGAAGTTGAGATTGCCACTGATCCACAGCCTGGTCCATCACGTCTTTCCCAAATCTCTACTGCTATAATCTATGGTGAAAGTTATTTTTTAGAAAAGGAGTTGGAAGACTTAAAACAAAAATATAATGCTCGACAATTCACATATGACAGCATATGTAACAACAACGAATTAGTCTCCATGTACACTGGATTGCCAAATAATAGTGTATTTTGTGCCCTTTACAATTTACTTAAGGATTTGGAGATAAATCGTCGCCTTAGTAAGAAAACCGCTTAACTCCACATTTGGGCCATTTTCATATTTTAGCGCCATCTAATAGAAAAAAGTTTAACCTATTAAGTGAGAAATCCACGTAACCGCCACAACAATGTTTCCCGCCTAAAAATTAAATCAAGAAACACACGTAAGTCCATGTGTCAAACTTAGGTTGAGAAATGCGCGTAACTCCCAGTTCTCCTATATTTCCAGCGTGTATGCAGGTGTTTACAAGTTTGGTGATAGTTTAGTGAAAAAAATCAATACATTTTGGAGTAAAAAGCCAGTTTAATATATAGGTAAGGCTGTTACGATACTTTTAAGAGTTTAATTGATTTAAAAAATGTATTGTATTTGCTTTAATTACGACTTTTTTACCGGCTATGGAGATACGCGCTTTTCCAACTTTAATTTAATGTGTTTATTTTGTAATTACACGTTTTTCTGCCCTTTTGCTATAGCTACTTAATCCTAGGTAGTTATTTTTTAATTTAAAGTTTGACAAGTAAATATGCACAAATGGTCGTATAAGTAAAGAATAAATAAGAACAAACATAAGCCATAGATACATTAGAAGCTTTTAATTTTAGGATGTCGTCTCGCACAAAACGTATAATGGACTTGGCTAACCAACAAGCAAGCTCTTCTTGCGTGGAAATGGTTGAATATGTGGTTGAAAAAGACGGAATTTTGTCACCTATTCATGCAAGACCGTCTAGTAAAATAAATGAACCACTAGTAAATAGTGTTAAGGTTGTACCACCGATGATTCAAACTAGTTTTGACCAAATAGAATTTCCGGCAGACGAGCCGGTAGACTTAAATGATGCTGCTAGCATGTACCATGATAACTTGACCAGTTTCGACCATTTAGAACTGCCAACAGATTTAAACGATGCTTGTATTTCTACCGATTGTGACCATCATGATTTGCCGACAGATTTAAATGATGCCGTTAGCATGAACGATGAACCGGACAATCCAGAGATTCTAGGAATGGAGCAAGACGAAGGCAACATGAATATTATTACCACCACAAATACTTCTTCTGAACACGATGCTGGCTCTGACGACTTGGATGTTTCTTACGTTCCTGAAGAAAACGATTCTGATAGTAGTAACTCTGCCAATGAGGATGATTTTAATAACAATGAAGAAAGAAATGAGGCCAATACCAGCCTGCCTACCACAAGAACTCGAAGGAAGAGAAAATTGTCCGAATCATGGAACTACAATATTAATAAATATAAACGTTTAAGAGGTCAGCCTTACCAAGGAAAAAAAGAAATAACCGGTAAATGGAATTACAACATTAACAAACCAGGTACATAGTGTTCTGCAGTAAAAAACATGAATAATAAAGGATTTATTTTTGTTTTAGGCAAGTTCTTAGAAAATCCGTGCAACTGCTCTCTCAGTAAGAAAAAATCTGCAATTCAGTGCCAAAAAATGACGGAAGAAAAGCGTTTAAAGATTTTCCAAAAATTTTGGAATAAAATGACTTGGAATGAAAGAAAATTGCAGGTACAGGCTCTAGTGCAGTGCGACAATGTTAAGAGAAGGAGAGGAGAACTTGAAGTGTCTAAAAGAAAGTATTCTATGAAATATTTTTTACAAGTGGATTTGGAAAGAATCAGAGTGTGTAAGCGGATGTTTGGTAGTACACTAGGTTTAAAAGAAACGCTGATATTGTCTTGGCTTAAAGAATTTAGTCGCGAGCCTGATGACTATCTGGGCAGCAAAAAAAGCGAAACAAGAACGGCGAAATTTGCAGAAAAAAATACGGCTGTGTATCAGTTTTTACAATCTTTACCAAAAATGGAAAGCCATTATTGTAGATCTTCCTCTAAAAAATTATATCTAGAGCCACTTTGGCGTTCCAATGCAGCACTGTACAATTTTTTCAGGCGAGAATATTGCGCCGAACGTACTTTAGAGCCTCCATCCATAGCAACGTTTATGAAGATATTTGAAGAGCTAAACTTGTCTCTCTATGTTCCTAAAAAAGATTTGTGTGACGTGTGTGAGGCCTACAATACGAAGAACTTATCTGAAGATGATTATAACCTACACCAAACGTTAAAGCAAGAGGCACGTCAAGAAAAGGAAAAGGACAAATCTACTAACGATGTTACAGTAAACGTGTATGCAATGGATTTACAAAGCGTGCTGTTAAGTCCCAAATCGACAGTCGCTGCAATGTACTACAAAACCAAACTGGTAGTACACAACTTCACTATTTATAACCTAAAATCCAAGGAAGGATTTTGCTTTCTGTGGAATGAGAGCGAAGGGGCCTTGACTGCAAACGATTTTTCCAGCATTGTTTCCGATTTTGTTGAACAGGAAATAAAAAAGAATAAAGGTTTACGTGAAATGATTTTTTTTAGTGATGGTTGCACGGGCCAAAACCGCAACTCAACATTGGCCAACGCGTTTGTAAACTTAGCTGCACAGCACAAAATTGTCTTGACTCAAAAGTATTTGTTTAAAGGGCACACTCAGATGGAGGTGGACTCGATGCATGCAACCATTGAAAGAGAGATTAGAAATCGAAAAATAAATCTGCCCGCTGATTATGCTTACTACTGCCAAAAGGCAAGATCGAGTCCATCTCCTTATAATGTAAGATATCTCACCCATTCGTTCTTTAAGAAAATGGATACTATAAAATTTTATACGTCAATACGTCCAGGTAGAATCGTTGGCGACCCCGTTGTCACTGACATAAAGGCTTTAAGGTACTTACCAAACTATGAAATCCAATTCAAAACGAGACATACAGATTCTTGGTGTACATTAAACCAAAGATTGAATAAAAAAACGGCCCCGTGCAAGTTTGAAGATTTGCCTTTCTTATACACAGAACGCAGAAAAATTAAAAAGGAAAAATATGAGCACCTCCAAATTCTGAAATTAGGACTTCTACAAGACTATCATCAATTTTATGATGAACTTCCGCATGAATAATTTTTTTAAAATTACTTTTTCGTTTATTCGTTGTGATTTTTATTGTGAGAATATTTTTTAGTTTAAACTGTATGAATTTCTGTACAAGATTTAAAATACGTATTCTGTTTAATATAGACTAAAGTTTTGTGTAATTACCAACTATGTAGTTGTTTTCTTTGGCGAAAACCACGTATATCCAATTATTTTATAATTTTTCACAGGAAAGTAGCGTACCCAACTGCTTTAGTACATTCACCAATTGTAGACTGATATTAGACTGCACAGAGATTTACACAGAAGTCTCTAGAAAATCTATGAGCACGCAAAGAGAGACTTACAGAACCTACAAACACCATAATACATGGAAAGGTCTAGTTGGTGTTGCTCCCAACGGTGTGATTACTTATTTAAGTTCCCTCTATCCTGGATCCACAAGCGACAAAAAAATCGTTCAGCATTGTGGTGTTTTAGAACATTTGGAACCTGGCGACTTAATATTGGGCGATAAAGGTTTCCTAATCGGCGACATACTACCTGCAGGTATTAGTCTGAATATCCCACCATTCCTGAATACGGGTCAATTTACACCAGAACAAGTAAAAAGGACTGAGTGTATTGCTCGCACAAGAGTACACGTGGAAAGAGCAATATGTCGGATGAAAAACTTTAAAATATTAAGTTTTATTCCAAGCACTATGCTTTCTCATGCCGACATTATTTTTCAAACCGTGGGAGCTTTAACAAATTTATAAAACCCACTAATAAAAGAAGTGGAAAGCAATTATTTAGACACCAAAGTAAATTAACTTTTTTGTAAATAATATATGTTTATTAATCTAGTAATGTAGAATTTTGTTTTTTTTAGTATTTTAAGTTCCACATATGTAAGGTACAAGTTTTTCCAAATAATAGTATATTAAGATACAAGTGTATAATCAAGTCTTTAAAGCACGCGCAACGAGCAACGTTGCAAGTGCTTTAAAGACCAATTATACACGTGTATCTTATAGTATTTTTTATTATACCTGCAGTATAATTTAAAAATAGGAAATTCAATGAAATCATATTGACGTTATACTCGAATACATGTCTAATTAAGTGGGCTGGGTGTTCGTAATTTCACGATTGCCATGGAAATGTCACTTGACGTTTGCTTATAAAAATTGTCGTCTTTGTGAATAAAACGATTTCCGTTGAAACAGATAATACACCGCCCATTAAATCGCTTGGTGTAAAATCTAAACAAACGTTGGTAGGTGTAAAATCTCAATCCAGTAAAGCCTATTATCAAGCATATGAAAAGTTGTTTCCATGGATGAATAGGAAGTTACTTACGAATAAAGTCTTAAATGCATCAATAATGCTGGCATATATGAAGGAAATGTCAAAGGTATTTAAATCTTCCATCTTTTAGTGCATTCATTCAAAACTTCACTTATTGCTGGGACTAAAAAGTGGAACAGATTTGGAAGCATACCCTAAATTACGCGCGTTTGTAAAAGCTTCAACCAAAGGATAGGTACAAGCCAAAGAAATGTTCTGCATTTACAGAAAGCGACTTAGGAAGATTTGTTATTTCACCTAGATGACAGTTTCAAAAGTCATACTTGAAGTATCGTTACTTAGCAACTTTAAAGCACGTGTGTTTTAAAGGCCTTTTTTATTATACCTGAATCACAATCTCCGTTTTAAACACTCAAATGCGTGCGAAAAAGGGCCTTTAAAACACACGTGCTTTAAAGTTGCTAAGTAACGATACTTCAAGTATGACTTTTGAAACTGTCATCTGGATGAAATAAAAACTCCTCTTAGGTCGCTTTCTGTAAATGCAGAACATTTCTTTGGCTTTTGTATCTATCCTTTGGTTGAAGCTTTCACAAACGCGCGTAATTTAGGGTATGCTTCCAAATCTGTTCCACTTTTTAATCGCAGCATTGCTTTAAAGTTTTGAATGAATGCACCAAAGTATAGAAGATTTAAATACCTTTGACATTTCCTTCATATATGCCAGCATTATCGACGCATTTAAGACTGTATTCGTAAGTAACTTTCCTATTCATCCATGGAAACAACTTTTCATATTCTTTATAATAGGCTTTACTGGAGTTGGATTTTACACCTACCAACGTTTGTTTAGATTTTACAACAATCAATTTAATGGGCGGTGTATTATCTTTTTCAACGGAAATGTTTAATTCACAAAGACGATGATTTTTGTAAGCAAACGTCAAGTGCATTTCCATGGCAATCGTGAAATTACGAACACCCAGCCCACTTAATTAGACATGTATTCGAGTATAACGTCAATATGACTTCATTGTATTTCCTATTTTTGAATTATACTGCAGGTATAATAAAAAATACTATAAGATACACGTGTATAATTGGTCTTTAAAGCACTTGCAACGTTAAAGGCACTCCGCTTTGCGTCGTGCCCTTAAACTCGTTGCGCGTGCTTTAAAGACTTGATTATACACTTGTATCTTAATATACTATTTTCGCACGCATTTGAGTGTTTAAAACGGAGATTGTGATTCAGGTATAATAAAAAATTCTTTTAAAATTGTAATATTTTGCAACCATGCATCCTCTTTAAGTACTTCAACGACTTCAAGCTCATTTGGAGTCCAAATAAGTAGGTAACATGCTCTTCTATTCGTCATATGGAGTTGTCCTTGGATTTGGTGCCAATAATTGTGTTTCCGGTTGATGACAGTCTCTTCATTTTCCTTATAAATAATATAACTTCGGTCATTAGATAAAGCTTGCTTTAAGCTAGAGTTTCTGTATTTATATGGGCACTTCACTTCCACAATGTGTGTGTCGCCTACCAATCCATCGGGGCTTGACCCCAAATAGCCACACTCGTGCAACCACAAACCAGTTGATTGGACATCAACGCCAAACAACTTTTGAAAAGTCTCTATTGCACATTTTTCATGTTCTCTTCCCCACTGCACAGCAAGTAGGGAATTTAAACTGTAGCCTTCCACCAGGCTTTTAAACAATGATGGTGGAAATCTATTCCTGTTGCATGCATTCAATACTACACCAAATTTACTTGCGGTAAGTCGATGTTTCCGAATGATCAACCACCTTTCATTTGAAGCCTGACCCCTTGTTGAATGTACCACATTCTCAAGCATCCCCGCAGTGAGACGGCATTTTTCTGATAAATACGCAGACTTCTCTGCACAAGACATGTATGATTGTGAAAACAAAATGTCTTCGATAACGGGTACATCTAAAGAGTAATTTTGAGCATCTTCTTCAGGGTTCAGCAGCCATGTAAACCCTACTACGCAGGTTTGTAGGGCATTGCGGAAGGTTGAAATTGCTTCTGAGCCAATGTTACTCCTTAATGGCTGGTACCGTTAATGTTTCGTAGGATATATATCTCTAATGGTATGCAGTTCATCAACAGCTTTTTTCGGGGCATTCCATGAACAGGGCTGCTCGGTAACGCTTACGTTATGATGTGCATGAATGCACAATGCTGCCATATGATGGCATATTGCTTGCCCCCTAGGGCAATTACATTTCCCTTCGATTATACCGTCTTCCCTATCGATCCAAATCTAAAAATGAATAATTAGTCAATGATAATGTGTACCTACTGTTTTTACTTACTTCAACAATGTATTCACGGTTCTTCATACTGGCTTGCACATGTCCCTTCAACAACATCGGCGATAGCGACGAATCGAAAGTCAATTTGGAAACGTGCCCACTTTCATATGCAATTTCGCCACGACGTAATTGATTTCCGTTTTCTTTGAAGAAATGCGCAATAATGGATAACGAAATTACATGTTTCGTTGCCACTGTGAATTAATACACCCATTATAATAAAAGAATACAGCTTTTAAGTGAGGTTAAAGGTACAATAGCTTTATTAATTACATAAAAAATTACACCAAAGTTAGTTTCATATATTCTAGTTTTATTAATGAAAAATACATACTTTCTGGAAGTTTTACACTTGTTCTTTAACCAATATCAAAAAAATTCAACAGTGATATGCAAAATAAAATGGCAGGACACTTTGTTTGGATAATGCGCCTTGACCTTCCTCAACGCACTCGCTACGATGACGTCACAACTAATTGAACGAATACCCTACCTTAAGCAGTGCTAGCCTTTCTGCTGACCCTACTGCTTCCCTGAAAAAGATATTCTGTCAAGTTAGTTTTGCTTTCAGCATTTCTAGGAGCGTTCTACATTTTTCAGGTGTCATACGGAAGTATTCGAAAAATGTTGTTTCATCATCCACTAAATCAGGGAATAAAGTGTGGTATTCTCCGTAATTTATAGTTGAAAACAAAGAAAACTGACTAGAACTGCTGAAATGCAGACAGAACTGATGCGCATCCTTCATTGATGCTGCGTTTCTCGATCGCGTATTCACCGGCCAAATTTATGTGTTTGAAAACATTTGCAAACGTTTTGCGCGCTTGGTGGGTACCTACCTTTAGCAAAATCGGTCACCAGTGAGAAAAAAATTCAACGTAAATGTAATTTTGTGCACCTATTTTCCAACTTCTTATGGAATATTCTATAGCTACGGTAAACAATTCCACAAATCAGCTTATTTTTTCGCACATGGAGGAAAATGTGTCAATATTGGTCGTAATCCTAAGCTACACAGTGGAAGAATACGGTGCAAATTTTAATGTTACATGAATATAATTTAAAGATTACAATTTTTAAGGAAAAATTAATTAAAATAGGGTTAAATGTTTCAGATTAATTATTAAATAAATGAAGTAGAGATGGCGAGTGTTTATTTGTACACCTAACCTACTTAGAAACCGTTCATAGTAATGATAAGATATCAAATAATTACCTTGAGCTCAAAAGGGGAATGAGTGCGACAGCCAAAATGGAATCTTTTTTTGTAAATATTGTGACAACCAAACTAGAGGCGAGATAAAAAGTTTGATTCTGAGATTACCTAATAAATATATATTAAAAATTAAAAACAAGGTTTCTTAATTACTATTGTAGACACTGGTACG